TTTAGATCTATTTAAAACGTACCTAAGGACGCATCCAAGCGAAGCGACCGTAAGTCGCTAAGTAGCTTTTTAAGACATTCAATTTACCTACTTCTGTTTTTAATCTAGTATCATAAAATATAAGTCATTGATATATTTTTGTTATTTTTTAAACGTAAAAGTCAAATACTCGCGTAAATCTAAGAAAATATGATCGTTTATTTAAATAACTACATATTTTGCAGAGTCTCAATAAAAATTAAAATTTGAAAACAACATATTGAACAAAGGGTATTTAATAATAATTCTATCCATAATTTTTTACAGACAAGTATGTTGAATAAATTTTTATAATTAAAATGCATTCGTAATTCATTTTCCATTTTCCAGGTTACCAACAATTTTACTTTCCCAGATAATTTCTCAAACCTTTCAACCAGAAAAGTTGGCACAATTATATGTACTTTAAATATTAGTACATATAATTGTGTCAACTTTTTCTTGTTTCTAGAGTTTTGTACCCGAAGGGAAGGAAGACATTATTAAGCCTAAAACGTTTTTCGAACATCAGTCCTACTTTTAATGAACTTTAGTATTTTTCACAAAATATTTTATTATGAAGGCAGGCAGTGGTAGCCCAGTGGTAACGCGCTCGCTTGGGAAACCGAGTGAAGCGGGTTCAAATCCCGGGTCTCTCATCTCTGATATTTTCATGTGCGAATCATTTCTAATATGAAACTACCACTTGCCTTACAGTGAAGGAAAACATCGTGAGGAAACCTGCATGTCTGAGAGCTGAGTGTTAGACTATGGCCTGATCCCCCTTTGTATTAAAGGGTGGCCCGTGCCCAGCAGTGGGACGTTAAAAAGGGCTGAATTTTATTATGAATCATATAAATATTTAAAGAAAATAAAAAGTTACAAATCAATGTTAGTCGTCATACCACAAAGGTTGTGTCGAAAATGGTAATATAAAGTGTCAAATAAAATCTAAAGGGGGGGGGGGTTACTATGTCAACGAAATGTGACATTGTGTGACAAGGGGCACGAGGGATTCATAAGTTTCGTGACGTCACATGTAAAATCTAAAGTATTAAAATACAATATATAAATTGTAAACGATAAATTAAAAAAATATCTTTCTTTACGCTATTTAAGATTTATATTGTTTTGTTGGCGAATTCTCGCTGGGCAGCAAGCTCGCTTCACCACGCTGTTGATGTTGATATTATTAAAAAAAATCTTGGAACTACTGTTTTTATTTTTATTCAGTTCTGAATGCAAAATTGCATAATATGTGACGTCACACCAGGGGGAGGGGGAGAGGGGAGTTCCACAAATATGACCACCTGTACCAAGGAGGGGAGAGGGTTCAAAAATCATTAATTTTTTTCTTAACCCAATCTTTTACAAATAAATTGAATTTCGAATTCGACAAGAGGAGTAAAATAAAATTATTGAATGACATATTCGAAATTTCAATTATCCAAACAATTTAGTTACAAAACCAATCAGAACAACTGTCCGAGGAAAACTCATTTAGAACTAGGCATTAAACTAAGTTATATTTTTTTCTTTTTTTGTTTAATCGTTTAAATTAAAGCCAACTGTTGAAAAGTATTACGGTATTTTTATAATACCTTATTTTACCTTTATAATATAAAATGTTTATGCTCTGATTGTTTCACATTGTAATATGTAGTACCTACAACTTAACCTATACATAAGCATTATTTGCTAGAAGCTTATGTACTTTAAAAGTTTTATGTAAATAAGAGTTTTATATGCCAAACAACTACCTGTTTTGAAACTATATTTATTTATTAAAACTTACGTGATACTATATGTATATTATTGGTGATATCAATACAATTTTTCACAAACACTCCTTTCATTCTTCATTTTTATAAAAAATAGTAACACAATAATATTAAAATAAGTTGGTTTTATCATAAAATTTAACTGGAAACTTAAAAATATAGAGGTTGTTATTATAGCGAAATATGACAATGTAACGAGACTCTACCACATAGTTGCTATAAATTGGTATAATTACGTTGATCATCAACATTTGTGATATATGAATTCTGAAAAATGAAAAGTCACCATGGGAAAGGAAAAGTTTAAATATACCTCAGAGGAAGGTTACTGCTTTAATTTCGAAATCACACGCTTTGTTTCGATTTTGTTTCCTATTGTTTTTTTTTTATTTAATATTGTAGTAACTAACTGTTATTAACACATAAAAAAAGAATTTAATTTGAACGATATTGCACACACATTGCCCAGATTAGGTATAATTTGAACTTTTACAATTCAATTCACAGGTATCTAAACTGGTTAAGGAAAACATTCAATGAAGTTAGGTGCTCCATAATAGTGACATCTTTCGGTCTGTCGGCAAACTTGCCTCAAACTTTCCAATCTGATTTAAGACACCGGGGACATGTCGAACACGGACAGCACCAGAATATTGAAATTATCAAATATGGCGAAGTAATTGAAGTTATAGAGTAAAGTATATTTTGTTTTTGTTAGTTATGGCATATTTTACCGGTTCTGCTAAAGGGTCGTGGGTTCAATTTTATACACGAAAAATGATATTATTAATAGAATATAGTACATCACTGATAACAAACATTGTTGTTGCCTTGCTGAATGTAAAAATTATGTATATCATGTATTAGTAAAAATATTTTTTTCGACGATTGCGACATTATTTTTATTACTAAGTAGTGAGACCATCATATTCTGATAGGTATAAGAAACTTGTATTACCTTTAATATTTTTTATTAAAAGCTGTACATGATAAATGACTAATAATAAACAATGACTCATTCAACATGACAATTAGTTAAATTAAAATGAAAAAAAAACTTCGTCTATGTTATCTACCACCAAGCTCTATAGAATTAAAGAAACTTTTACAAACTACATTTACCCGTTAAAGAAAATATATTAGTAGTTATACAAGAGTTTAGTCACATTCTTTATTAATGACTAATGCAATTAGTATTCCGATTGCAATTTTTATTATAACGTTTTAAAATTCATTACAAATATGGGGGCAGAATTTTAATATGAGTCATTCTCATAACTTATCGTATTCACTTTATTACACACCCTTGTTCTAATGAGGGTGACCCCTCCGCGTTGATGATTGACCTTATACTTTCTATGAAACATTTAACTGCTTAGTAATAAATTGTGCATTTTTTAGTTTATTATAAGAATAATTTTCTGACAATACTGACTATGGTCAATGGTGAGTAAATTAATTTAGTTATAGGTACTATGTTTCTAGTAGCTTTGTCTTTTATTTTTATTACGGAGCAGAAGCATTTATTGTTTTAATATTTTTACATTATTCTAAATGTAGATAATACTAATAATTAATAGAAAATCTTTGCAATAATAAGTAAAAACAGTAGCCCATGAGTAATCCGTTTGTTTAGAAAGACAAGTGAGGAGGGTTCAAATTCGAGTCTCAGACTGTCTGAGATTTTCATGTACAAATTATTTTCAACATGATTACTTACTACCCCTTACTAATACGAATAATGAAAACTTACATGTCTGAGATAACCTGACTTATGTACGTAATTTTCGTATGAAATTGTGAAGTCCGCCAACTCGCATTTGACTCGCGTGGTTTTGTACTATGACTTTATCCCTCACGCATGGAGAGGAGGATCATGCCTAAAAGTGGGACGTTAAAAGAGCTTCGTATTTAGAGTATTTTAAAATGTAGGATACAGTTAGGATGGATGAATGGATGGATGTGTACTTTTTTACGCAAAAACTACTAAGCGATTTTTGATGACTCTTTACAGTATTGTAGCTTTTTTATCGGAGTAAAACATACGCTTTAATTTTTAAAGATATATAAGTGCAACGTGAGAACGTGCGGGATAACACTAGTATTATATAAACGTACAAAAGTGAAAATTCTGATCTCTCAAATTATCATTTCATTTTCTCCTTAATAATCTCCTAAAGATAATCTTTGTAGCTTTTTATCAGTTACAATATCAAATAATGAACTATATAGAACTTTCTAAATGTAAAATTTTGACTTTTAATATTAAGCCTGAAATTGAGAAAAAACTAAACTGCGTATGTCCAATAGATTTAGAGCAAAGAAGAGATCCTAGAAGAAACCATATTTTCATAAAATGGACAAAAACCCAAAAAACTTAAGTTTTCTATTCTTGTGTAAATTTCCCCCCCCAACGTGCTTTCATCTTGTCGTGGTGGGGGGCTCAGTAGAACTCAAGAAGCCAAGAAACGCACAGGGTGGTGGCCCACTTCGGTGGGCGGTGGGAGGTGGCCCTCTTCGGGGGGCGGTGTACCTTGCGGGTTGCTCCTGGTACTTCTCTGATAGCAGAGTGGACCTTGGAGCAACCCCATGGTTGTGGTGGTCTGCTTTGGCCGACCTGCCGTCGGGGCGTCGTAGTTGAATGCGTAAGCGATCCTGCGACGCCCCATTAAGACAGGGGAAAGTTTTGTTGGGTTTTAGTGGGTAGTACTGGCTGTATTACGCCGGTGAGTCCCACATCTCGTGCGTAAATGCATTTCCCAACGTTAAAAAAAATTGCATTTGCGGCTTAAATTTTGAATTTTCTTCTAAGCATATAAAAATATAGCGTGCGCGTACCAGTGACTCCTTGTTGACGATATGAAAGAATAAGATCAAGTAATTAGATAAACTGCAAAAATGAACCCACGCGCAACAATTTCTACGGAAAATCCAAAGTTCGCAGCAACAAGCTATAGCGCATGCGTACGCGACGCATTAAGTTTTAAATATAGAACGTCGCCAGAAATTCGCCGCCCTATTTTACAATTGACTCGCAAACGGCAAATTTAACCTCAAAGTTATTCTTCATATTATTGAATGTAAAAGTTATTATAATTATTGACAAAATTTGTATAGTGCTGTGTTTAAAAGTGAAATGAGGATAATCCATTTGTGCAAATTGCATGGCGACTGATTTTAATAATAATGAACAAACTTAAAATGTGCAGTGCGCTGGTAATTTTATTATTGCTGTGGAAACATGGTAAATATATTTCATTTTAATTACATACTCGAAAATTTCACAATCCTCATTGTAAGATATTTTGTGTTTTGTTATGTTTGTTATAATTTCGAAAAATGTTTTGCAACACTTATTGTCGTAGTTACATATTTAGTTATTTTTAATTATTTGAATTAAACAAATTTTTGTGTTTTAACCGTATGCGTACTAATAGCCAATAGGTTCAGACTTCAGATACTAGAACTTAATATGTCATTTATTAATGTACAAAATATATATATATTTATGTAAAGTCATTTATTAAGTTTTCATCATTAATATCCTTTACGAACAATACGTATGTAAATGAATAAGATATTATTTTTAAAAATACATTTACTTTTACGCGAACTATAAAATATTAAAAGGGAATAAAAATCATACAAAAAATTTAATAGTTTTACAATAAAGAAATTTTAGTACAAGCAGTTAATATTTAACATTTTACTATATCCAATTTTAAAGTGGAATGAACCTATAGAAAGAACTAACTTTATGATGTACGTTAATACGTACAAGTTAGTTCTTTCTAATAATGATCTAATGATCATTTTTTAAATTGTATTTTAACCAAAGATCTAACGGCTATCGGTAATAATATATAAAATGTACTCATTTATTTTCCACTAGCCAGTGTCCGGCGACCAAGGAAATAAAAATATATGGAAATAAAAAGTTTCATTAGCTCTGATCATCAATAACTTAAAATATCTTGCTGGGGCCGTTGCTAATTGCTATCACCACTTCCATGTGCCAGTGCCGAGCTGGCTAGGGCCTAGGAATAACTAATTCACTATCTATACAGATAAATAAAATTGTAGTGTCTGTTTGTAATGTCAAAATAACAGCGTTTTACTTAATGCATCTGAAATTGTATACGGTACTTTTATGAAAAACACAATTTTAAAATTTTTGTCTGTTTATCTGTCTGTATGTCTGTCTGTTTGTTCCGCATAAACTCTGAAACGGCTGGACTGATTTTGACGGGACTTTAACTGGGAGATAGCCGATGTTATAGGGAGTAACATAGGCTACTTTTATTTTAGAAAAAGAATTAGGGTTGCAAAAATCCAAAACATATATCGATAGCCTTTTTACAATACCAGTTTTAACTAGCGAAAATTTTATTCTTGCTTTGTTGAAAACAACATACGGCAAAGTGGCCAAGTTTTTAACTTTAAACATCGTGTATTTTGCTCACGTTTTACTGGCCATAAAAAAGGCGAACTACGGAAAATATGAATGAAAATTAGAACATTTCTAAACGAAACTCTTATAGCCCGAGCATTACGATAAACAACTATAAAAGCCGACATTGTTGCTAAAACGATAATATACTGACGAGTTAAATATTGCTTTTAAACACTGTTTTATAATTATCATTTCACGCAAAATGCCTATGACGTGCTTATCTACATAATATAGAGCTTAATTAACTTTCTCATGAATTTATTGGTATCGAGTGTGTATCTAAATAAAATTGAAGTAAAATGCAAGTTTAAAACACTATACAAACCAATATTAAATATGTTCTCATATTTATTCTCAACGATGAAATCCTTCATGAAGATGTACGAAGCGTATCTGCAAGGATCCAGTGCCGATACCGTAACGTGTAGTATTTGTAATCTACTTTTTGTTATGTTTCTTATGGATTCAAAGCCAATATTGTAGTTTTGTAGCTTGTAAGGTTTAAAAATAAGCAATTTAAACCTGAAATATGTGTATAAAATTATAAATAGTAAAATGCATTTTGAGATTGTAGCTATATAGTTATATTAGATATATATTATATTCCAATGATTATTGTTTTTTTTGTGTTTAATTTTTAACTGTGGAAATATAATGTATTCAGTTTTTCACCAATGTGTAGTACTTATTATGTGTATACACATAAGAGAATGAGTGTTTGTAATAGTAGGTATACAACGGCACTCTTGTACTCTATTACTAGATAAAGGAATAAAACTCACAAGTTACAGTATAACACCATACACAATACAATACCACACAGATTTAACATACATCGTTTTTAAGTCTGTGATAAAGTCTGCAATCTTAGATTATTTTATATGTTTAATAATTAATCTAAGTCTGCAATATATATTGAAAAATATAATTTTATATTTCAGATTTCGTAGAAAGCCTTCGTATTTTGGAACTCAGAGTGCCCGGACACGTGGAAGAAGGAGGCCAAGCTCTTTTAGGATGTCAATTTGATTTAGAAGATGATCGTCTATATTCAGTGAATTGGTACAAAGATGACCAAGAATTTTATCGCTTCGTGCCCACAAATAGCGAACCGACGAGCTACTTTCCTGTGCCTGGCGTTATTGTCAATGTAAGTTAAAATACTCAATATTTGTTGTGAAAATAATTTATTGTGAAATTATTTGGATATTGTAACATCGAAACATGTTCACAAACTTTCACGGAATAATAAAATAGATCCATAAATATCAGGGGGCATTTCACGTGAAGCGGACAAGGAAAATAAAGTGAGGTTGTGGAAATTCAAATTCATACTCTGGTCAGTTATAGTTCTAGTGGACATGGATGTGCAAATACATTATTTTTTTCGTATGAGGCTTTATTGCCGAGTTATGAGCTTTTAAAAATTTACAATCAATTTGTAAAAATATCTAAAAAATATCGTTTCTGAAACTTAAAAGGTGTGGTTTTTAATTTATTCATCGAATTACAAATTTGTTTCTTTTTACGTATAATAAACCGGAAGTGAAGATTTCAAATGGATGTTGAGTAACTTCGACATAATTTTTTTTCAATATTTTAACTTTGAATTAAGCTTTGAATATCTTAATCCTTATAACGTGATCGCTAATAGTTTAGGACTTAGAGCATATTGAGTACATACACATCGCTAGGAGAATTTTCGTAGCAGTCATGTTTATGAGTTAACATGCTAAAATACTACGCTGTTACCATTTTATTCTTTCATTTTAACATGCATAAATATAAAATTATACCCCATTAATTTCTTTTTTTAAATAAAAATGATTAACAATACAAATATTTGTTATAAAATAACAAGTTCATATAAAGGAGTCATATCCGAAACGATAAGATTGTGAACACCATCTCGCAGCAAAAATAATTACTAAGAAATACAATATCTATAGTCGTTACTTATTTTATTATAAACAAGATTTTAACAAAGAAGCACAGTTACACTTTCATGCCACAGCTCATATTAATATGACTAAATTAATAATTTTACTATTTATGTAGAACTTAGAAACTAGCTATAGTCTTTGATAACAATTTCGACCATAAATCCTTATGTGAGTGACACGTGTCAATTTGATCAAAATTTGGTATACATACGTCACATCAGGGGACCAGCGTCTCCGTCGGACATCATAGGGATTTATTGAGGTCACGAGAAAATAGAAATGTTTACTATAGGTATAATAAACTATAATAAAAAGCCAAAAATACATTAGGTAGGTACATAACTTTAGAATTTCAAGTTTTGCATAATATTATAATATTTTTCATGCATCATAACTGAATTTATAACATTTAGAACCATAAAATGAACTTTATGTCTATTTTTGCATTGGTAACATCTCAAAAAGTACTAAAAGTAAGACTTCTGTTTATAGTTGGTATATATCTTCGTAATTTAATACATAATTTTAGAATCAGTAAGAATATTAAAATTGTAGAAATTTATAAGGTGCTTGTTTGTTTGGGAGGCAACGAATGACAAATCGTTAAAAACCGTTGAAGTGATTGGAATAAAACAAAAAAGAGATATTGTTCTCTGTATTCTACTGACATATTATGGCACAAGTTTAGTATATGAGACGCGGCCCCTGTAGGAGTGAGTGGTATTTTTGGATAGGGGAGGTGATAGGGAGTGCAAATATATAAGAAATATTTTGAGGAAACAAGGGAGTCAAAAGTTATAAAGACTTAAAGTTAGAACATTTCTATATCTAATTAAGGCTTTATTGTATTAATATTTTGATAATTTCACTAAAAACAATAATCTAAGCAAAATAATCTTAAAGTTTGACATGACTGACAATTTCTGTTTTTTAATGTACCGCTTTCAGGACATAACAGATTATGGCTTAATAATTAGTTAAGAATTATGCATAATCAAAAGTGAAAATTGTCATCAGATTACTAAGATTTTAAAATAGTAATATATTACTTTCAATTCATGCATGCATTTACAAGTTTTTATTTGATTTATGTAATTTTACGTTGAGTTATATATAATTAATTTACTAATTTTTAAACCATTATTTGATTTTATTATCTGCAAATACTTTTCAGTATTTTTAGCGGGTAGTCACAAAATACCGCGAAGTTCGATAGTTTATGTGAATACGATCTGTACTCATTAAACGCGTTTTCATATTTTTTGCTCTTTATCATAGTTATTTTTCTCATATTATTTTCCAGTACTTATTAGTTATTGTTAATTTTCGTATAAGTTCGTTTCTAGTTTTTTGTTTTAATAGTATTACTATAGCTTTAAGTGTTCTTAGTGTTTTAAGCGTACTCATGCCGTTTATAAACGTACGTAGACTATTTCTTTAATCTAAGTTTAAGCAAATTAAATTTTGTGCAATTCACTTCCATGGCCAACTCACACACACATGATAATAGTTGGCATGGACCTGGAGCTGGAATGCCTAATGCAATTTATACATAATCACAGCGATTAAAAATTTCAAATTTCTATATATTTCTATATTATATAATATGTGGATACCATAAAAAAATCATAAAAAATTATATATAAATAAAAAGTAAATTAAGATCTACACCACACACCTATTTGTTACCCGAGTTCCAAAAAGGAGGAGGTTATCAATTCGTCGGAATCTTTTTATTTCTTTTTTTTTATGTATGTTCACCGATTACTCGAAGACGCCTGAACCGATTTGGATTTTTTTTTGTTCCAAAGGGTATACTTCCCAGGTGGTCCCATACAAATTTTATCGAAATCGGTAGAGCGGTTCTTTAAAAAATCAACAATAAGTTTTTTTTTTTAAATTGCTTAATCGAATATGTTATTAAAAACTTTCTTCTTACAAATTACCTGCTTATTGCGTCTACACTAAAAATGGAAAAATAAAAACTTTTTAACAAAAAAGAAAAACCGACTTCCAGGCACTAAAATGTAAAAAATAACTCAACGGAGGTTTTCATTTAGACCCCCCCAACGTGCGTTCACCTTGTCGTGGTGGGGGGGCTCAGTAGTGTACTCACGAAGCCAAGAAACGCACAGGGAGGTGGCCCGCTTCGGTGGGCGGTGGGAGGCGGCCTTCTTCGGAGGGTGGTATACCATGCGGGTTGCTCCTGGTACTTCTCTGATAGCAGAGTGGACCGTGGAACAACCCCATGGTTGTTGTGGTCTGCTTCGGCAGACCTGCCGTCGGGGCGTCGTAGTTGAATGCGTAAGCGATCCTGCGACGCCCCATTAAGACGGAGGAAGGTTTTGTTGGTTTTTAGTGGGTAGTACTGGCTTCGCCGGTGAGTCCCACACTTCGTGCGTAAATGCATTTCCCAACGTTAAAAAAAAAAAAAAAGGTTTTCATTTAGAAAACATGATCAGATATTTTCGACGTCGGTGCCAGCCTACAATATTTTAAGATATGAAAATTTAATAGGTAAATATGTATTTTACGTATCAAAATATATTAGATTTGCTTTGCATCGGCTGGCACCGACTTCGAATATATCTGATTAGGTATCTATTCTAAATGAAAACCTCCGTTTAGTTATTTTTTACATTTTAGTGCCTGGAAGCTGGTTTTTCTTTTTTGTTAAAAAGTTTTTATGTGACTATATATAGAATAGTATTTGAAATCGTTAAAGTCCAACTATAACACGCAATCCAATAATAAATTATCAATGGGGTACCTTCTAAGATTCAAAATATATAGCTACCAAAAAGTAGAAATACTATACATGCTGATATTGAGCCATCATTTCGGAATCTTAACTTCGCTAACTCTAACTTGGTTCAATAAGAAATTTTGTTTTCTTTGAGTAAAGTTTTCATATCAACTACTTACATACATTATGTATTAGAAACATGAGAACACGCCATTATTTACTAATAATATAGTTCACTAGCTCTTTAAATATAACATGCTCTTAATAAAGTTGTCGAAGTTAACAGTTAGTTCTTTAAATGTACTGTATTTTCGAGGGTATAGTAAATAAGTTTTAAGCTTTCCAAACTTTTAATTGTGACGATGACCTGGCAAGTTTTAAGCCGGTAACTATTTGAAATTTTATCATAATATATGTACATTTGTCTTCCAATTCGCGTACACGTACAGTAAAAAAAGATATTTAACTTGAAAAAACAACAAATTTTATATTTTTCCATAGCAAACTTTAAAGCTTATTGTATAAGTATACCTAAATTAAAATAATAATAATTAACTTTACGGATTTCTTATTACAATTAATAAAAAAGCAATATTGAATATTAAATAATTAATTATTGTTAGGTAAATATTTTTTCTGTATAACCAACAAATTGTGTAAAAATTAGTACTTAACAGGATTTTCAGTTAGTTATTCGTGTTGCTAAATATAACAATTTTATTAAGAGCAGCTATAATTGGAACTGTGTCATTGCTATATTAGCTTTCTTTGTGTCGCCTTTAACGACCAGATGTGAAGGTTACCAACGAATAACATACATACATACGTAACAAAAGAAGAATATTACAAGTTTAAATATGAACAACAAATCTCGTTATCAAATTGACACGTTGTTAACAAAAAAAAAACATTGAACTAGTAGTTACTAGTAATATTTACATTTTTTTACCATCGTACGCGTACCGCACCTATTGTCAATGTCAAGTGTGATGTCTAAATTGATTGACAATGACGGCTATCGTTTCTAGAGGCACCAGTTAGCGCCACTGGCGAGTATGGTCCTATCGCTGTCGTTGAAAAAAAAATATTTGGTAGGGCCAATAAATGTAATATAATAAAAATAGATTATTGTTAGCGCGGAATCAGTTTATCAGAATTTTAGTTAAAAAAAAATTGTGCCGTACCGTATGTCCGCCATAATAAATCAGTAATAAAATAATCCTTACAATAATCACGAATAATTAGTGATAATCCGCGATGAAAAGCTCACAAACTGTAAACATATTTTAGTGTCATTTAACATTTCTAGAGACCTTGTTCTACACTAGCGCCTCTTGCAGAATATTTAAGCGCGATACCCCTCGTTCCTATTAGGCCAGAGGTTAGCAGTGGTAACGTGCCCTTGGAAAATTGCGTGGAACTAGTTCAAACCCCGGGTCTCGCACCTCTGATATTTTCATGTGCAAATAATTTCTAACATGATTACAACTTATCTTACGGTAAAGAAAACATCGTGAGGAAACCTGCATGTCTGAGAGAGCCTAGCAAGTTTTCAAAAGTCCGCCAATCCGCACTTGGCCAGTGTGGTGAACTAGGACTTGATCCCCCTCAAGGCCCTTGGAGAGAGGCCTGTGCCTAAAAGTCGAACGTTAAAATGGAGGTTATAATTCATTTCTCAGTAGTATCTATGTATTTTAAAATCATTGCACCTAATAATATATTACTATATTATACGCACCGATGTTATTTATATGTATATTTTGATATTTTTATTTAAATGGAAATTAGTAAATTATTATTTAATAGCTCAAACCAGGTTCCTGTGACTTTCATTCACAATGGGTATGATTTATTTTTACTAAATACGTGTGAAGTCCGCTAATTCATATATTTTGGCTTGCATTGTAAAAGAGACGCTCATATCCAACCCAATTATTATAATATTTTTATTGAGTTTTTCAAGTAATTTTTTTTAAGTACAGCAGCAGTAAAGCAGTTTCACCTTTGTGTGTTGTCTATATTTTGATAACACGCACAAAATTTAACCCCGTCTTTATTCAGAAAATATACCTAGAACAGAAAATAAATACGAGTATGTACAAATTGTTGAAATTACTTTTTCTTATCTAATACATACTTCTATACTTCAACATTTAATTTAAATACATTCTAAACATATTTTAAACAGCTTTTGTTACTGTATCTTTGTTTATGATCAAATATCAGATCGATTTTACTGTTCTCTTAATTCTCATAACGATTTAAAACTTAATAAGTACATACATATTATGTGAAATTTGGATATCCGTAACATCGATGGAACCAGGAGACTGGAAGTAGATATATAATAAAACTCTTCAATTACTTAAAATTAATTATATTAAGAATTATTTTCATGAATATTCTTCATAAGTTTTGAAAATATTTTATTCGTATTCAATACGATTTTTGTCTCTTAAATATAGTTCAATAAAACATCTTTATTTCGTCTCTTACATTTATTTAATTCTACGTTTGTTATTTTACTTTATTTACATTCAATGAAATCTACAACTTGGTATTTCACGAGCTCTTCCAAGTTGGTTTCGGTTATTTATAATAGACGAATAGCAATGAAACCCAAAAGTTTATAAAGGCGGTATTACTCAAATCAGAGAGAACAGGGTCCAAAAAGTTTCAAGATAAATCAATTGATTACCATACTCCCAATTAGAATTTGTAAGTAAAACAAAAACGTATTCGATTTTGATTTAGTCCTTACTTTTTAATTAGTGTCAAATATACTGTTATAAACTCAATTCATGTTGTTTTCCATACTTTTTTTTATATTTACAACTAACGGCTTACCCTCGCTTCACTCGGATGTGTCCCTAAGTACGTTTTAAATAGATATGAATACTTATTGCGAGTGTAACTTAGGAGAAAGACTTTTGCTATTGCAAATTTTTTGTAGGCCTTATTAAGACCTACAATTTTCTAGTACATTGTTTTGATGTATCACTTAAAGTTTAGCGTTAGAAATGTAAATTTCTAAGGATTACTCGATAGAACCGGTTATTGTGTTTTCCTACGGGATGAAAGATTTTTCTATAGTAAAAGGTATCCTAAATTTTAACCCGAGTAATATAAGTTATTACTACAAAAAATAGTTAAAATCAGTTCAGTACTTTTTGCGTGAAACGCACACATCAATTTCGATAAGTTACTATTTTATTTTATTATAGGTATAGATTATTTATTTTTGGAATATAAGCATAATAGCTTATGTCAGTCTAAGAAGTTTTGGAAGGTTTCAAAGTTAGTATAAAGAAATAATTTTCAAACGAGCAAATTATACCGAGAGAAACATGTCTATAATATATATACAATTACATGTCACAAGGTCTTAATAAATCTTTTACTGCAATACTCGTCCTAGTATCGCTCAAGTCTCGTCTCACTTATTATTAAATTGTTATTCAACTACACGACGGACCAAAGATAAAAGTAATGTTATTTACATACCTTAGTTGAAATGAATAACTAAACTGATATCCGCATTATTAATAATTATCGGTCGCGAATTCTTAATCTAGAAAAACTTAAATTCATACGCAAATAAATATTTTTTTAGCTTGTTGAATTGTTATTTTATAGTACCTGGGCCACCGAGCTTCGCTCGAAGTTTTTGGTTGGAAATTACAATTTTCTTTAAAAAAAACTAAAAACTTGAATAAAAAAAAAACAAAAATAAATTATACCTTTGTATTTTTGTTTTGTGATCGGGATTCGAACCCGGCCACCTATGATTGTTAATCTTGCGTCTTTTAAAAAAAAATCAAAAATCTTGAATAAACATTAAAAAAAATAAAAGTAAAACTTTGTATGCGACCGAGATTCGAACCTGGACACCTGTGATCTTGATCTTATACCTTAGCCGCTTGACCACGATGCTTATATCCGAGTGTGCAAATTATCGACCATATTTTGTGTGGAATAACGCAAAAGAAAACTGCATGAAAACTCGAAAACACGCGTTTTCTCAGACATAAGACTAATCTAGATCGATTTACCGCCCCCGAAAACCCCGTACAAAATTTCATGAAAATCGTTGGAGCCGTTTCCGAGATTCAGATTATATAGCATATATATATATATATATATATATATATATACAAGAATTGCTCGTTTAAATATATTAGATATATATATTTGTTGAATATATTTATTATACAAACGTACGTTCCTCGTGTCTATATCTATTTACCTACTTTTTATAAGTTAAATACTAAGTAGGTATAATATGCGATATATAATAATATGCGATAATATTATCATAATACCTAGCTAACATAAATTTAGTATATTCTTATAGATGGCGCGATCATCAAGCACGGTAGTCGCTCTAGAACACCTTACAAAGGACTCAGGTGGGCGCTATCGTTGTGAAGTATCGGGAGAAGCGCCCTACTTCGTTACTGTGTTCGACGTAAAAGATGTAAAAGTATATCGTAAGTTATCAAATAATAATATTGACGCTGTGTTATATCAATACGAAGACCTAAAATAAAATTATATACTTTATTATTGTCGATTGGTGAATTAATATACCTATGTATAAACTACTTATAACTTATTACGAATCATGTTTTCTTTTATAAAAATCATCAAGCTATATTAGTTTAATCATGTAAGTTAACTTATAAATATACCAAAACTACTAGTTTGATCCTTTTTATATGTGTATAGGTAGAAATAATGATATAGAAGGTAGTTTTTTGCATATATAATAATCACTTATTACTGTAAAAGATTCGAAAAATACTATTTTAAATGAAAATACATGAATACTATATGAAAAACAAGCTACTCTGAATAAATAATTAAAATTGTATGAATCTTATAGTACTAATTTACTTTTCAGTGTTGCCCAATAATGTGCCACGAATGACTGAAATCAAAAACGAGTATGAAATAGGGGATACTTTGAAAGTTAATTGTACATCATCAAGATCACGGCCAAGAGCACAAGTAAAGTGGCTAGTAAATAATCAGTCAGCACCAGAGAGTTATTTGCGAGGTCCCTGGGAGTGGAAGTCGAGAGAACGGCCTGATGCGCGCGTCACAACTGTAGAACTTAACTTTATTCTGATGCCTTACCACTTTCACGAAGGCGTATTGACTATTGAAGTATGTGATGACTTTTTTAATAAACAGTTTTTAAGTCCTTTAAAAGTTTTTATTTTAGGTTTTATGTAAGTCTATTAGTAAAATGTGTATTTTTCATCTAATTTTAGTGTCAAGTTACCCTCGCCCCATTATACCATGATAAAATAGTTCGTCACATCTTAAGAATTGAACCTGCACCAGTGGACGAAGCATCGGACGCAATTCAACAAATTTATGAAGCTTCTGTGTTTAGTGAAAGCCATGGTCAAACACCAGAAGCCGAATCGCAAAACAACGATTATTTTAGAGGTATTTCTTTTTTCTATAACCATACCATAAGCCACCATTGGCTTATTATAGAATCATTGCGCATTATGAGGAATGTTTGACTGACACTACGTACTGTATGTTGTTGCTGATGTGATATTTGATTTTAACATACAATGTCTCTGTTTGGGTAAGACGATTATGACGATAAAGAGCCCCATGAGAATGGTGTGCAACCTAAAATAAGTGGACACTATTTTGGAATACAGAGGGGGTGACGATGAAATGTTCTAGTAAAATTTTATATTATAAGATTTTGTGATCATTATTTACTGAAAACTCATTTTTTCATTTACAAAAAACCGTATTTTTGGTTTATCTATAAATGTGAATAGGTTTCATGAACACTAAACAATTTTTCTATACATTTTATTATAAAAATCTTTCCTCATATTTTCAGAAAACTCAGCCGGGTTCAAGGTTACTGCGTGGGTAATTTTGCCGTCAATCGTCTTAGTACAATTATTTTTTTAAATAATATTATTATATTATATTTAATTTATAAATTGATTCGAAAAGTTTATCAATAATTTTAATATTGTATCAAATTGATAGTACGAATTTTATTTTAGTACGTTTTTCGACGTTAGAGTCAGGTTTTAATACTTTGCTGAAATGGTGTCATGGCGCAGGATTAGTGTTCAACTAAAAGAAAACGAAATTGTTAGTCAATTTTATTTTTTTCCATACCTTTTACGCTGTTGGCCCATGACCATAAGTGTTTGCTTAATAGTAGTAATACCTTCTATGAATGTGATCCATAATGACAAAATAATAGAAATAACAAAAAGAAATATACGTCGGCCAGCTAATTTAACTGATAGACACCTAATTGAACTGAAGATACTAACATTGAACGCGTATGCCGTATGTGATAAACTACGACAATTATTAGCCAATATTATTAAACTGAGAAATGTTAAACTTTGAATACCATAATAAAGAAAAAAAAATAAACGTTCCTTTTTACGCATTAATTGTGATAGTAGTCCGGTCGAAATAATCATTACAATGATTCGCATAGAACTGAAAATTAATACAGACCTTACGTAGTCTACTACAAAAACTTTTTTGTAAAAGGTAAATGTTATCTTAAAAATAGGTTAGACAAAATTGTAGATAATTCTCCACGATCAATTGTCATTCAGTTTTATTAAACAACTAGCAGCTCACCTTTGCTTCGCTCGGGTTCGCCTCTAGGAAAACAAAAACAAATCTATCCCTCGGGAAGCGTATATTTTTCCGGGATAAAAAGTAGCCTATTGTTTGACCGGTAGTATAAAGCATCAGCATGCTAAATTTTACTATGAGGTGCAAAAATTGTTGTATACTAAACTTTATAAGTTACTATAGTTTTTTAATTATCCCACGGGAACTCCTTAATTTTTCGGGATGAAAAGTATCTAAAATGTTGACCGGGGATACCTATAAGGTACCACCATGTAATATGTCATTTAAATCGGTCCATCAGTTTCGGAGATTAGCCCGTACAAAGAAACGAAGAGACAAACAGATAAACAGACAAACAGACAGAGAAACAAAATATTTGAAAAAATCTGGATTTGTTCAATTTCTCTTCTTACATCCCCCTGACTCGGTTTTAAGCATTTTTTTTTCTATGTACAGACATTCGACCTCTACAGTTTTATTATATGTATTCTATTCTATTCACTAAAAAATGGTACTATTGGAAATGATTAAAGTGGCATATTGGAAATGATGTGTATTAAAGTTTTGGGGAAAATTTTAGTCTTACTTAAACCGATATAATTTTACCTAGAATATTTTTTTTAGCAGATACATCGGTGGGGATTTTTGATAATTTATTTGTAATAGTCTACCTAAGACCTGTACCAGTTTTCAGCTCTATACGAATGATTGTAAACCTATCATTAATTTTTGTCTATTTAGACGGACTAGCATTTTGTGACACACTTGTCTATTTATATTTTTTTATTTATGTAATAAAAGTATTACTCTAGATAATATTATTATGTAGATACATAATGTATTTATGTAATTAAGAACTGAATACAATTCACTCTTCCTAAATTTTGTATTTTTATTTTAACCCCAAATCTATCTGTCTAAATAAATAATATTTTATCAAAATAAATAAAACAATATACGTTTATTAAAATTAAATATTTTTTAAAAACTTTAAACTACTCGTAGGTCTTTATTGGCCCAGATTGCAAACACGGGTTAATTAACTTATTAGTACTAATAAAATTATCTCGGTTAAAGTATAAAAAAACATTATCATTGACCACGTCCGTTGATTTAAACAAAATATTTTAACTAATATAATTAAATTTTTCCTTATAATAAGTCTAGTGTATCTCGTAATCGTAGTTACTTAAGCTTCTGAAAAAAATTATTTTCTACTGCTCTTGCTGTAGACATCTCAAAATTTATTATAATTACGTATGAGTGGGTAAGTATTGTCTGTAACAAGTGTATAATAATTTATGAGATGACTACAACCTTAGTCTCTTCCGTGACCATGATAGCTGTAAAGCTTTTGAAACATCGAAAACAAAAAAAATCTGCGAAAAAAAACCGAAAACATAGTTTTATTTAAAACACGCGGCTCACCCTCGCTTCGCTCGGGTTCGCCTAGAAAAAATCTAGAAAAACATTAATAGAGATCTATTAGTTCCCACGGGAACCGTTCACTTTTCCCGGATAAAAAGTAACCTGTTGTTTGACCGGCAATATAAGGTATCAGAATGATAAATTTTACTAAATTAGGTGCATAAGTTGTATAAGTAATTATAGTTTTTTAACTATTCCACGGGAACTATTTAATTTTCCTGGGTAAAAAGTACCTAAGATGTTGCCCGGGGATATAAGGTACGACCATGCAAAATTTCATTTAAATCGGTCCATTAGATTCGGAGATTAGCCTGTACAAACAGACAAACAGACAGAGAAACAAAAAATTTGATCAAAATCTGGATTTGTTCTATTTGTCTTCTTACATCCCCCTGACTCGGTTTTTAGCATTTTTTTTTGCTATGTATAGACATTCGACCTCTACTGTTTTATTATAGTATAGATATGAATATTACTCGTAGTTTGTGCAGAACAACTCTCTGTAAATTTTTTAATGATTGCTTAATTAATAGAATAAGTGGTGTTTGAGATAGAAGAGGTCTACATTTTTCTGTAACTCGCCACTAAATGGTGCTGCAGCCCATCATCTTATACACAGTTCAACCCATCGCTATGAAAATTGGTACACATCAGTATTTAAGTACGGAGAATGTATACGCATTATTCATTTATACGGGCAAGAGTAAGCGGATAATTTATATTATTTCATGTTTCAAAATAATATATCGTATTTCAACACTATATATTTTTGAAAAGGTCATAATTATCTATTTTTATTTTCTTGTTAGCAATTAAAAAGAAGAACTATTAAATTAAGTGAAGAACCTAATCAAAATGTGCATATTACTGAAAGTTTCCAAAAGATTTTTTCATTCGTGAACTATTTAATATCAAATATTAAAAAATAACAATCACACATTTTGGTTCAAACGCTACTCATTTAGCTATTATTTGATAATAATTAAGCCGTAAAATGAATAAATTATACATATTTTTCATTATACATTCATAGTTAAATAAATGTTAATTATCAACTGTTTATTTTTATAAAATCTACTAAACTATTCCAGCTCATCCTATCTCTTCTAGTAAGGTATACTTTTGCTTAAAATATGAGAAGCAATTATTCACTATTATATTAAAACATAAGCAGATCTATCCCACGGGAACCTTTTTTTTTCGCGTTGAAAAGTAATTTGTTGTTTGATCGGCAATATTAGGTATCAGCATGCCAAATTTTACTAAATTAGGTGCATAAGTTGTTATCTACGAAGCTGTATAAGTTATTATAGTTTTTTAACTATCCTACGGGAACTCTTAAATTTTCCGGGATGAAAAGTATCTGAGATGTTGCCCGGGGATATAAGGTACCACCATGCAAAATTTCATTTAAATCAGTCCAATAGATTCGGAGATTAGCCCGTACAAACAAACAGATAAACAGACAAACAGACGAAAAACAAAAAAATTGAAAAAAATCTAGATTTGTTCTGTTTGTCTTCTTACACCCCCCTGACTCGGTTTTTAGCATATTTTTTTTCTATGTACAGACATTCGACCTCTACAGTTTTATTATAGTATAGATTAGTTGAACCTAATTGATTGAAATAATTCAAATTCTTAAGATTCGATAGGACTTTGTATGATATCATCCTTACTGAACTAAAGAAGTCTTGAGCATTTACTAGTAATTAGCACGCATTGTAATGATAATGGCAGACAGTTTGGCAGAAAGCGTTTAAAAGTTATTTTTTCGTATGTATATCACACAATAACATCGCTACAGTTTTACTTGTTATCTTATTGATGTATTTCTATATATCTCTATATATATAAATAATTATCATATTATTTCTATATAAATATTGAAATCAATGAGATGTAATTAATGCCTGCACAAGAAGTGTCATAAGAGTGCAAAATGTATTTTTAAAACCTACATATTCCTATTGTTCGGCAATCCTTTTAATTAGGCGATGGATGAAATTTACATTTAAATTGACTGCTGATTACGTTTATTATAATATTTAATTAAGTCAGAGCTGCAATAAAGCCTGTGAATTTCGTTTAAATTAAGTATTTCAATAAGCGAAAACCATCATAACTGGAAAATCTTTGTATTGAATGAATTTAATTCTATTTAAATACTTGTAATTTAAAGTTTTGTAACAGCTGTATACGGTACGGACGGTAAGGCAAAATATGTATAGTTTAAAGTTGCACTAAACACTTTTGAGCTTTATATTTCGCAATTTAGGTGCGTTAAAAATAAAAACAAAAAATAATTATAAAGTCTATATTGTGTATTTATTTACAAGTCATTCTAAATCGGGTGCCCAAGCCATTTTCATATTATGATCCTAATTAATATCCAGAGCCACGAGGTCCATTTGGACCTCCACTTGGGTAGCCTTCCCCTGAAATACCCCCTCTGCCATTCTGACCTCTATTTCCTTGAGATCCGGGATAACCCCCACTTACATCACCAGGATAGCCAGCAGGCCCTCCGCTTCTAGGATATCCTGGACCTTGTATACCAAATCCTTGTTGATCAGGTCCTCCACTAGGATAATCAGAAGAACCAGAGCCTGGTTGTTGATATCTACCACCTTGTGGCCCACTTCCTCTGCTACCGGACCCGGGATATCCAGCATCACTGCCAGCAAAAGCATTTGCACTGGCACTTGCTCTCGGGTATCCCTGATTTCTACCTTGTCCACCACCTGTAGAAATTAAAACTGCATTAAAAAAATCATTTTATAATATACTAGCGACTCACCCTCGCTTTGCTCGGGTTGCTGCCCAATACAAACTTGCATCCGCTATTTTACCCCCCTAATAGGATAAATTTCGGAAAATACTAAAACACATATTTAATAAATTGTATTGAAGAGCATTTATACCAAGTTTATTTTTTATTTTTTGAATTGTATTGTAAAGTGTTTTTCCGTAGGAAAGAGATAATTTCCCGCGGTAAAAAGTAGCCTATGTCACTCTCCAGCCCTCCAACTATCTCCACACAAAAAATCACGTCAATCCGCCAAGCCGTTTTGACGTGAAAGAAAGACAAACAAACAAACACACCTTCACATTTATATTATTAATATGGACTTCTTGATGTATATTTATGTATGTATCTATATTTGTATATTTATATTTATGTTGTAGTTTGTACCTATACCGCATCTCGTTGTTTTTTTTTACGCTCGATGGTTTCCGGTAAAGATCTCTTAAAGAGATATATATGTAAGACATCCTTTTTATACGAGGAATTATCTGTTTTCTGTTATTTTATATGCATTTTTTGTAGTACATAAATAAATAAAATAATTATTGATTTTTAAAATAAAGTCAATTATCACTTACGTCCAAATCCAGATCCGCTTCCACCATCAGTTCCTGAGAATAATAAGGCAATTAAACAAAAATAACAAAATAGTGTTTATTAATATTTAATACTTTGTAATTGTAGAGTCTAAAGATTACTTTTTATTAAAGCTATTAAATTTGATATATCATAAAAACCTCCTGTACTAGAAGTTATGAGACTTTATAAAATTTATTATTTGAATAAAGATACTCATTTATTAAAATTAACACAACACAAGATGCGCAGATATTAAGCGGACGATAAACAAACCCTCATAACGTATTTGGGGCTTAAAGCCCCTTCGATCTGCCTCGTACTCAACCACCTGTTTTCTACCATCGGGCAGCAATACGTTGTACTCCCCTGTAGTTACATCTCCATCCCGCTGTTCGGAATGACCAAATTTAGTACCTGTCTCCGGATTATCTACCTCATAGCTAAACTCATATTTGGCTGGCTCCTGTAAAATCATTATAATAAAAATAACAAAATGATAAAAATGATAAAAAATAAGCTTAAAAATAGCAAAATATCTTAAACTTACATGAGAGTCATCTACCCCTGATCCACGATAATTTTGATTCATACTATTAACATCATTACCGAAATCAGGGGTGCCGTAAGATGACGATGGTGATCCTCCAAACGGTTGCCGAGATCCTTGCCCTTGTGGCCCAGCATTAAAACCACCTAAAGCCTGCAATCCGTTTGGTGTCCCATAAGCAGAATCTGGTCTCTGTGATGAGCCACGTCCACGATAAGACCCAGCTCCACCATTAGTGCCTTGTTGGTTAGGACTTCCATATTGAGAGCTGGGCACTGATCCTTGACCTCGTCCTTGAGATCCACGTGATCCTCCTCTTTGAGATCCTGGAGAAAATTGATCTGGTGTTCCGTATTCTGCTGGTGGAGAAGAACTTATTCCTGAAGGATTGTAATCAGTTCCGGGCTGATTTCCTAAATTTTGTCCAGAAGCATTAGGCCTACCAAATGGTCCTTGATTTCCACCTGGAACTCCATATTGTGATGATGGCCTTCCTCCAGACCCTGAACTAGGAGGTAGATAGCTGTTTACAGGTGGTTCACATTTAGTAGCCGTTAATGTAAACGCTACTAAGCAGAGGATCCACTGTAAAAAATATTAATATTTTTATAATAGATATTATTATATTCTTTTATAGGTTGTGATATTTTTTTGGAAATAAGCTTACAATAATCATGGTTATGAAATTCTTATTGATTTGTACTTATAGAATATAACAAAGTGTATCTGCTTCCAAATTTAGATTTAGAATATTTTTGAAACTCTAAATCCCTGTTTATATAGTAAGGACCTATGGTGAACGTCAGTTGAATGGCAAAGATGACTGCACGCGCATCGTGTACCAAAATTCGTGCATCGGATTGTACATTAATTTTAAACGTATTTATTTATTGTATTATTGTCATCATGCGTCACGATGAAAATAAATTCATATGTAAAAGTAAAAATTATTCATCTTAGTTCCCAAAAACAATTTTGATTAAAGAAAGTTTAATACCTACAAAAAGAACATCTCATTACTACACTCAATGGTACTCTTATACTCGTACAGTACGACTATGTTGTATATTTAAGAGTGCCACGCTTCAGGCTTCTATCTTTTTATTTTCGATTGATATATTCAATTGTGTGTATGTATGTCCATCCAGCCGTTAAGGTTGAAGGAGTAACAAACATATACACACGTATACAAAATTTCGCGTATATTATAATAGTAGTCTGATTTTAGTTAAAGAGTTTGTTTTTCGAAATTAAGCATATATAACCTAACCTAACCTACCTACTAGATAGTAAATGGATTTCAATTGTCTCAAATGTTTAAAGAGATTTTCAAAATACAATCTACAAATTATACCTATTAGGTATAATAATTTTATAAAAATAAAAACTTGTACTTATCTCCAACCCCTGATGCTTAATTTTATGCCGAAATAATATCAAGTAACCGAGTTCGGGTACAAAATGTACTCGAAATAATATTATGTAAATCTATATTAAACTCAGCGGGAAGCGTAGTTGTGGAAGGTTAAGTTAAAGAAAGTGAAATTAATTAGTGGAAAATCCTATATCTAAGGGACAGCTCTGATTCGTGTGTATATGTATTCAGCCCTTTTTAACGTCCCACTGCTGGGCAAGGGCCTCCCTTCAGTATGAGGGGAATCAGGCCATAATCCACCACGCTGGCCAAGTGCGAATTGGCGGACTTCACATGTCTTTTGAAAACTTGCTAGGTTCTGTCAGACATGCAGGTTTCCTCACGACGTTTTCCTTTACCGTTAAGACAAGTGGTAATCATGTTGGAAATGATTCGCACATGAAAATATCAGAGGTGCGAGACCCGGAATTTTAGCTCGCTTCACTCGGTTTCCCAAGCGAGCGCGTTACCACTGGGCTACCACTGCCCCATGTGATATACTATAATTCATTCATTCATTATAATATAATATTACTAATATTATTATAACTCGAAACGAGTATTGTAAATTTGAACACACAAACGCACAGACAGACAAAAAAACAGACAAAAATTCCAAAAATCTTTGTTTTTGGTCCTATTGCGTTAATAAAGACCCCCAATAATGGTTTTTCTCAAATATCTTCCATGTACAAACAGCGATCACTTGCAATTTTATGTATATGTAGGTATAGTAAGAGATAGTCTGCCATATTCATTTATAATTATTATTACAAATTGCTCTCATTATTGTGCGCTATAGCTCGTTAAGGTTGTATGTACGAAGTGAACTGAACCAATTCGTGAGTGATCTGTGTCCATTTAGGGTTACTAATTTTCCTTTATATCCTTAATTTTATCAAAACACTCCTATTTTATAATTTCGAAGCTGAATCTATCACTGACTATTTACAATGCAATAAGAAATATTTTAAATTATTATAACTTGATTATAATACTAGCATTGCCCGCGGCTCCACCCGCGTTCAGATGACCAAAAACCAAATTCTTAGGTTTTACATATTAGTATACATGCAATGTAAGAACATTGCAGTTTTTGTATTTTTTCTCAGAAATGAGATATTTTCCCGCGGTAAAAAGTATCCTATATGTTGACCCGGATAACCAGCTAGCGTCATACCAAATTTCATCAAAATCTGTCTACTGGTTTTCTCGTGATGCGGTAACAGACAGACAGACAGACAGACAGAAAAATTCTAGAAACTATAGATTCGGACTCTGTATCGATAATAATGTTTATTTCAATAAGATTTTCCAAAAAATATTTAATGTACAAATTCAACTTAGTTACAATTTTATTATATGTATAGATATAAAATCTAAGATGAATAATAAATATACTGACAGATACCTAGTGACTAATTTAAGTACTTAATATATTATTTACCGATAAGTTTTTTGGTTTCCGCAATTGATCTACGAAGTACTCAGCCCTAAAGCGTCGAGGTACAATCGTGCACGTGTGACGCAATGCATTCGCTCTCATTAGCGCCCTCGCACACGACCGAATACGTTGACTTTTCTCATAGCTGTAGATTTATGATATTGTATTCTACCTGCTCCTACAATTCATGAAAATATGCATATTTAACTACGTTATAAATCAAAACCTCATATTAAATTCTAGGTAATTATTTCATTCGGTTTATTATGTTTTATAAAATATAATAAACTACTAGGTACGTTTTAAATAGATATAAATAGTTATTAGCCAGCGTAAGCCATATAAATTTTAATTTTTTTTCGTTAATTTTTCTGATGTTTTAATACTTACCTATTCCGGACTAAGAGAAATCCAAAAATTAAAATATCATAAAAATTGGTCCAGCCGTTCTTAAGTTTTATGTCACGTCACACGGGAACGCAGTCGAACGGGATAAAAAGTATCCTATGTCCGTCTCTGGGTTCTAAGCTACCTCCCCGCCAATTTTCAGCCAAATCGGTTCAGCCGTTCTGGAGTTATAAATAGTGTAACTAACACGACTTTCTTTTATATATATAGATGTATGTAATGTCTATAGGTAGAAGTATATAATAAACCCCATAAATTATGTATATGCGACTTAAAGAAACCTGAAATCTGCAGAAAAATTGGCAAAATAGTAAAATGGCAGGATCCACATCTACATATTTATGTAAATAATACATACTTGATTTTAACCAAAATTTATTTCCAGTGCAACTGATGGGTTTCTATAATAGCATATAAAAAAACTTAAAAAAACCGACTTCCAGGCAGTAAAATGTAAAAAATAACTAAACGAGTTTTCATTTAGAATAGATACCTAATCAGATATGTTCGAAGTCGGTGCCAGCCGATGCAAAGCAAATCTAATAAGTATATTTCGATACGTAAAACACGTATTTACCTATTAGATATTCATATTTTAAAATATTGTCTGCTGGCACCGACTTCGAAAATATCTGATTAGGTATCTATTCTAAATGAAAACCCCCGTTTAGTTATTTTTTACATTTTAGTGCCCGGAAGTCGGTTTTTATTTATTTTTTAAGTTTTTATTTGTCCATTTTGAGTGGTAATAAGCAGGTAATTTGTTAGAAGAAAGTTTTTTTTAATAACATGTTCGATTAAGCAATTTATTTAAAAAAATAATTTATTTGTTGATTTAAAAAAAATCGCTTGACCGACTTCGTTAAAATTTATATGGTACCCCTTTGAAACAAAAAAAAATCCAAATCGGTTCAGGCGTCTTCGAGTAATCGGTGAACATACATTAAAAAAAAGATTCCGACGAATTGAGAACATCCTCCTTTTTGGAAATCGGTTAATAAGATTATACGAATATTATTTTACATAACATTATAATATTGTGAATATGACGAAAATATCTAATAGATATATATATAATCTTTCGACGGTATGTGAATTATGTAATTTTCAGTAAAAGATAAGTCCACTTGCGAATACAGAAGTGGGATCCCTAGTAAATAATTTATAATAATCAAATAAGCGCCGATTATATATACTTCCAAAAAAAATATCGTAATAACATAATCAGAACAGAAAAATACCATAAAATAGTACCAACAAAGTTGCACAATTTATCTTATTAATTTTTAAGAACAACACATTCTTCTTAATTTGAATGTATTCAGCAATTTTTAAAGTCCCTCTGCTGGGCACGGGTGTCCCTTCAATACTAGGGGAATCAGACCATAGTCCACCACGCTGGCCAAGTGTGGGTTGGCGGACTTCACATGTCTTTTGAAAACTTGCTGAGTTCTCTCGGACATGCAAGTTTCCTTACGATGTTTTCCTTCACCGTTAAGACAAGTGGTAATCATGTTGGAAATGATTCGCACATGAAAATATCAGAGGTGCGAGACTCGGGATTTGAACCCGCTTCACTCGGTTTCCCAAGCGAGCGCGTTACCACTATGCTACCACTGCCTATTGTTAATTGAATACTACACTACATAAATTGAATGTACTCAAACAATTCTACTCAAATTTATTGTGTACATACATAAAGCCTACAATTTTGTCTTATGTAGAGCACAGATAGTCCAGAGGGACTTAAGAAGTGACCGTTGTTATTACAGGCTAATTCAAATGTTCTGAATTTATAGCTACCTCCTTTAAATTTATAGCACGAATATTAGAACAAAAATAGGCAGCTTATTACCTAGATTCTAAACTGTCAAGAGAATTATTAAGAATAAACGATATTATATTAATTAAATATGTATATAATTTAAACAATCAAAGATCTTTATGGATCACTTTATTATCTTACTAGCAAAATCCGCGGCTTCCCTCGCGCTAAAACTACAAAACAACTCTAGAAAAAGTAGGTTTAATACAAATTTTAATTCCCTATTTTACCCCCTTATGTGATGAATTTCGATAAATTCTAAAAGAGCATTAATACCAAATTTCAAGTAATTCTGATCATAAATATCTAATTGTTGGGTTGTATTATAACGCCTTTTCCCGTGGGAACGAGATTATCTGCCGCGGTAAAAAGTAGCCTATGTCACTCTCCAGCCTTCCAACTATCTCGACACAAAAAATCAAGTCAATCCGTCACTCCGTTTCAACCTGAAAGAAAGACAAACAAACAAACACACTTTCGCATTTATAATATTAAAAAGTATGGATTTATTGAGTTTACGATATGTCATCGCAGGAAATTTTGAAATTAATTTGAATAATTTTTGTAAGTTTAAATTCCTTTGTTGCAAAAATTTATAGATAAACTTCAACTTCCAGCATCACTTCAGCAGATATAAAAGTCCTTAAAATTGGGTTTGTACTTTATTGACATATTTAATAAAACAACAAATATTATGCATAAATATATTTAATTTTTCATAAAATTGACTATTTTCTTAATTCTATAACAAAGAATTTTATTGTTTACATCTTTATAAATAAACCTATTCTTAATATTATATGAGTAGCCTATACAGAGTTCTGCTGATATTCCACATTTCATAAGTTTGCGTTAGTAGAATATAATAAATACAGAGAGAACTATGTAATATCACCTTCACCTCAGAATTGCACTATTTGTTTAAAATACTAAAACATCGTGGTATCACAGTTACAAAATACTTAAAATATTAACATCCTCATTCTGCCATTTGGCTATGTCCTACTTCACTTGGTATCGTAACTATCATTATCTATACAATGAACCGTAGAAATTATCATTTGTTAATTAATAAAAAAAGAACAGAATGAAACATCATTTGGAATCTACCTATTCCAAAAAATAGCATTAATAAAAATATTGAGTATCATGCATACTGTGTGTGTTCCTGTGTGTGTGCGCGCGCACGTGCGTGTGGTGTATGAGTGTATGTATGTGTATGTGTGTGCGCGCGTGTGTGCGTGTGTGTGTGTGCGTGTGTGTGTGTGTGTGTGTGTGTGTGTGTTAAATAAATGACGTTATAGTATAACTTTATTTCACAATAAAAACTTTTTAACAAAAAATTAAAACCGACTTCCAGGCACTAAAATGTAAAAAATAACTAAATGGAGGTTTTCATTTAGAATAGATACCTAATTAGATATTTTGGAAGTCGGTGCCAGCCGATGCAAAGCAAATCTAATATATTTCGATACGTAAAATACATATTTACCTATTAGATATTCATATCTTAAAATATTGTAGACCTGTATTACGGCATACAGTGCCAATAATAATAAATAATTACTTATATATATTAGCATTGCCCGCGGCTCCGCTCGCGTTCATGTGACCAAAAACCAAATTCTTAGGTTTTACATATTAGTATACTCTTACTTTGCAGTTTTTGTATTTTTTCTCAAAAATGAGAGATTTTCCCGCGGTAAAAAGTATTCTATATGTTGACCCGGATAACCAGCTTTCATAATACCAAATTTCATCAAAATCTGTCCAGTGGGTTTCTTGTGATGCTGTAACAGATAGACAGACAGACACAAAATCTAAAAACTATAGATTCGAACTCTGTATCGATAATAATGTCTATTTCAATTAGATTTTCCAAAAAAATATTTAGTGTACAGATTCGACTTAGTTATTATATGTATAGATATAGCACCAACCAACAGCTCAAAATGGCACGCTCGCAAACTAAACAGATAATTTAATTCTGACAATATTTGGGGGATAATATATATATATATATATATATATATATATGTGTGTGTGTGTGTGTGTGTATATATGTGTGTGAGTTTGTTGTGAATGGGTAATGATTATATGAAAGAAATAGTTCTTATCTGGAGTAGATCAGCATTGATTCTGTGTTCGAGTAATCCTGTTTTAGAAGCCAGTCCGTAAGTTTAAGTTTTAGGTCATAGGTATTTAAACCTATAATGTTTAATTTTTTATGGAGATTTCTATAAATATGTACACTTAGGACAAAGAATTGGTGTTTTGTGTTGCACATTTGGTGGAAGGTTGGTTCGTTTATTTGGATTTTATGGGCTAACATTCCTGTGTCTTCTCAGAGTCGACATGAGCACGAAGAGCTGTCGGACAGTCAATACGTTAATTTCTGAATAGACTTGGGAAGTTGGGTATTTAAAGGGTTTTCGCAACATAAGTTTAAGTACAGCTCTCTGTGCCCACTCAACCCTAAGAAGACATGCTGTATTTGCACCGCCCCAAACAGTAATACAGTGTCCAATAATTATCGATTGACATAGAGCGAGGTAGGTAATTCTTAGAATCTCTAGGCTAGATGACTCCCTAAGTAGTTTAAAAGTGTGGATTAGTCGCATTAATATATGTTATTAATATATAAAAATACTTGAAGAGTAAGTTGAATTTAATTACTTTACAGATATGTCTGTAGTCATCGTCCACTGACTAAACTAACTCACGTACTTCGAGAAACACTTCGTATACAATATATGTCTTACAATTGTTCATTTGAATTCCTCGATCTAAAATTTTGTTTGAACTGATTTTAAGTCCATTTCATTTCTCTTTTTCTTTCCTCTGAAATGTTGTTCTATTTCGGCCAGTGATTTTCCCTTTGTCTCGGGAACCATAAACAAAACGAAAAAGAATGCTATAGCGCAGAAACAGGCATACATCCAAAAAGTCCCCGCTGATGTCAACACATGCTATGGAAAAACAAACGTAAATATTTTAGAGCTGTAAATATAATTTAAAGCTTCAAATAAATTCATTATTCTAGATATTACTTTAATACAAGAATTTACATTAACTTATATTTGTGTTAGTTCTTTACTGAAGTAACCGTGAAAATAATCATGTAATCAGGGTAAATCTATTACTCTGCTTAAAAAAATTACAACCGAATTGAGAGCTTCGTCTTTTTTGAAGTCGGTTGAAAAGATAGACATAATAGATCTAATAGATTGAGGTTAAAAAGTAAGACTAACTTAAATAGAAGATCTATAAAAATGTATGTATGATGTTTTATTTGCATAATAACAAAAACTACTTTACTAGAATTTACAATTTAGTTTAGCAAAACACTTTGGAACTTATAAATTCATTACTCTTCATGATTTAAAGGCTCATCTCTAGAGAACAACATTAACGTTATAAATGGCCATGCAACAAGCAACAACCATGCAACAAATATATTACGGCTCATAATATCGCAGCGAAACGCTCATGTACTCAACGTAGCTCATAAACGTCTGGTGGAAACTTATAATTGCCATTTCGTACGTAAGCTCGCCCGTGACGGAGCGACCCGCTCATCAAAATTTGCCCTTAATACTATAATAATTATTTTACTAATAAATATAGTTGACATTGATGGACATTCAATAGATTAATCCAAAAATCAATTTTAATTCTAGCGAAAAATTTACTGGAAACTTTTAACTAATGGTCTCTTACCTCCAAAGCATGATAGGACTTAATGACCGTGAACATAGACAGCAAGTTCACTGCACTAGCCATAGCAGACAGTTGCGAGCGGTGGTGCGCAGGGAACAGTTCGCCGAGTAATAGGAAAGGCAGTCCCCCGAAACCAAGTGAGAAGCCCAACATGAAGATGACTAAACTTACAATTGGAAGGTATCTGGAAATATAAGTTTAATATTTATTGCTTTTGGGACAGTCTTGCTGTATGATTTTTAATGAACATGGTTTGAATCTAAAAAACATTGTTTCGATTGTTAATAGCTTTCGTTAATCAATGGTCGACGAGTGTTGGTTCTCGTAGTAACGAAAGCCAAATTTCTGAAGCCTAAAGTCAAGGTTTGCATTCAAATTAAATCAATAAATTTTGAACTTATATGCCTGGTTCTAATTCTAAACGCATTAAATTATAATTAAGAATATAATTTATAGGCGAAAATGAGTAAACAACGATTAAGTAACGCATTCTTTGTCAAAGGGAGTTTGAAGGTAATTTAAGGTTAAATTAAACAAGATAAGAAAATAACTGGACTCGATGTAATTATTAAGATATCATACAAGTCATAGATACAAGACAAAGATTTAAAAAAAATTTTTAGTAAATAAAGTTATTGGCCTACTGAAAAATTACATGACTACTACAAAATTTTCGTCGATGACGTTTCACAAGTGTATGGAGATGAAATATGTAAATATGTTATGAACCTCCAATAGTCGCCTTTGTTTCATTTGAAACGTGAGTATATCGTTTGAACCAATTTAATTGTTATTTTTACCACGTTTCCATGTGATAATAGAATGTATTGTTCGTAGAGGTAATAATTGGTAAAGACGTCCTATGATAAACAATACAATATAAATTGCTAAATCACACATGTACATATGACAAACCAAATATATTTTATTTTGGGTTTTGATAATATCTGACATGTTAAAGTTTAGATGGATGGTTGGATCTTTGTTACTCAATCACGCCAGAACGGCTAAACGGATCTGGATGAAATTTGCCACAGAGATAGATTATAGTCTGAAATAGCACGTGGGATATAATTATGGCTAATAATTAATAAAGACTAGTTTATATCTTCGGTTTCTTCCACGTATGTAAATTACATACATACCTACATATACGAGATATGTACGCCTTAAATATTGCGAAAATGTGTTCAATGCGCTATTTTATCCTTACAATGGTAATATTCACTACTAGTGACATTGTATGTATTGTATTCAGCCCTTCTTAACGTCCCACTGCTGGGCACGGGCCTCCCTTCAATATAAGGGGGATCAGGCCATAGTCCACCACGCTGGCCAAGCATGCAGACATGCAGGTTTCCTCACGGTGTTTTCCTTCACCGTAAGGCAAGTGGTAATCATGTTGAAAATGATTCGCACATGAAAATATTAGAGGTGCAAGACCCGGGATTTGAACCCGCTTCACTCGGTTATCCAAGCGAGCGCGTCACCACTGGGCTACCACTGCCTCGATGCCTGCCTGCCTGCCTAGTGATATATATATATATATATATATATATATATATATATATATATATATATATATATATATATATACATATACATATACATATATATAACTTTAAATACGTACATATTATAAATATAAACACCCATGACTGGAGTGCAAACATTCGTGCATCACACAAGTGAATGCCCCCAGCGGGACTCGAACCCGTTACCGCTGGCGCAGGGTCACTACAAACTGAGCCAAAAGTTTATACAGAGTGTAGAGTATTATTTTACTTACCCTAGGATAGACTCGTTTTCAAATTTGAAGTAGAATGCTGCGCCCATCCCTAGCATGGAGCCGCACATCGTGACTGCTGATAGTAGGAGAAGGGGTCGTCGCCCCGCGCGGTCAACCAACATAGTGCTCACGCCGTTACTAAACAGCTGCACTGCTCCCACTATAATCGTCGCTGCCATTGCATCAAGAGTGGACTCTGGAAATTATCAAGATTTATAGTCAAATCAAATTAAAACATACTTTATTCAAATAGACTTTTAAGAGCACTTATGTATATCCGAATACCATTATAGTTGAGAAGTTTATATTGTGTTTGTTGTGTGTGGTGCGCTGTGAGCTGGAGTAAGATATAGCCTACCTACCTATTAGGCACCAGGGACTCATCCGAGCGAAGCGAGAGTTAGTTAATACTTATTCTATAAGTTGAGCTTTTGAGCAATAGACCCTAGGCATCTCCTGTTATGTTAAACTTTACTTTTTTAGCATGTCATATTAGCCTTAACATTAAGCAAACATACATAATTTATAAGTTCATTATATAATTAGAATAGTGGTTTACCCTCGCTTCGCTCGGGTGCGTCTCTAGGTACATACATATAGCGTTGCTACAATTTAATAGAAAGATCTTTTTAAGAGGAATAATTCTGTAATACATTGTTTTCTAAATCTAATAAATCTAACAAAGCTGCTAGTCGACATAATTTTTTCAAACTTTTAAATTTTCGTCAACCAAGTTACAAAAATCTTAATGAATTTATACAGCTAAACCTTCCTCATGAATCACTCCATCTATTTGTGAAAAACTTATGAAAATCCGTTACGTACTTTTTGAGTTAAGTAAGACAGACAGACGCGGCGGAGGACTTTATAATATGTAGTGATAAATTGTTCTGTATACATAATTATTTTCTACTATATTTGTTCGTATTTTAAAAATAAACTAACATATGAGGATACTAAAGCGCTACTTTAACTTATGAATACATATACACACACGAACGTCGAACACGCAGACATTATACAGATTTACTTATAAGTTTTTGTTTTCTTTTTTGTTTTAGATTTACTAATTGGACCCAGTTATGCAAAAAACAGCCATGTGCGTTAAAAGTACTAACAGAGTTATAAGCATTTTTCTGTCTATAGTTGCACTTGGGATATGTTTTGTTTTTCTGGTTATTTTAAAATTGAACAATATTTATATGAGTGTTGTTTATTTTTTATAAATAATTATAATAAAATGCTTATAACTCTGTTGGTACTTTTACGCACATAGCTGTTTTTTGCATAACTGGGTCCAATTAATGTATCTTAACTCATTATATTATACTTTAACTAATGAAATAATTTAAAAAAATGGAATATGTTATTAATAAATTGTTGTGGAAATGCGAGGCCTCCCGTCACAGGTTATTTTTTACTTTTATGTCTCTTACTGTTAAATACTATATTTCTTTATCAACCTGTTCTCATCTTTTTAGTTTTAAACAGTCGGGTTTTTTTTGTAAATTATTTTTTATTTATATAAATGATATCACAATGTATTACTGTTCGGGCGATAGAATGAAAATTAGAAAAACTAACAAGCGAAATGTATTTTTTCCCCATTTTCCTATATTACCTACACTCTACAGTATAGAAAATTTGAAGGTAAATAAAAATATAAGAGAATTACTCAAGTGACTCGCTATTAATAATATAATGATAGCAAAAAATCAACAGGTTGGAACATCTATAGTTACCTTAATTTAACTTTATATTTTGCTCATTAGTGATACTTACGAAAAATATGTACCTACTTACGTTACACAAAGGCAGAATGTGTCAGAATTTAGTGAATAGATATATTATATATAATATTTTTATCTCAACGCTAATTTAATTAAATTGTTGAAGATAAATTAACGCTACGTAACAACAGATCTTAATAACATATCATTACCATACACACAGGTAATGACGCCTTTGAATTACATAACGGGGAAGTACCTGAGATTCTGTTACGCGACCTAAGAATATAATTCATTATTCTAAACGATGCATGTAACATATTACATGAATTACCATGTTTTGTTAATATATAATAACAAAAGGTTACTTACTTTAATTACCAAATACCTGTTATCTCTATATTCCAAAATATCTTAAATATTTTAAGTCTAAATATAAATTTACGAACATACAAATACATCTCCTACTAAAGACAATAATGTAGAGTCTAAATCACTTCTTTATTTTCTGTATATCGTGCTAACGCCACGTTGATTTTTATCCAGACTGAAACGTACGACTACATCTGTATGCTCAATGCAAAATTTTTATTCGCGAATAGCCCGAAGTTACTTAAGTAGAGAAGGGTAGAAAAGCGTAGAGTAAGTAAATAATTCTATACTTTTTAAATTTAAGCTACATTATTATAAGTGTTCCGTTTTATGGGTACAGAACCTTTATATGACGTTACTTTTGAAATATCTTAAAGATGATAGTTACCTGCACTTTGAAATATTTCCACTGTAAAAAAGATGACAGCATCTATACCGCTGAATTGTTGAAAGAACAGCAACGCGAAGCCCACAATCAAAGGTTTTATAACGGCTGATGACAAAAATACTTCACGCGTGAAAAGACTCTTTGGCTCCTCCACCTTTTCGTTGTGTCTATAACAAAATGAACACGAAATTTAAATAAAGTAAATATACTTACATTTTAAACACTTACTAATTTTTCAAATTTCAATCTACTATTTCTTACTTTTGCTAATTATTTTTTAATATGTACTAGTCTGAATACAATATAAAGAATACTCATATGTAGGTTGTACATAATATGCTTGTAACTACGAGTAACTACCCGTGTCACATCGTATCAATACCGTTTTCACACTCGTGCAAAGCCAAGGTGACTCGCTACTTAATAATAAAATGTGTAAAATTGTCTATTACATTGTATATAATTTATAAAAACTATGTTATTTAAATTTTATTGCGAACTTCAAGTCAAGATTTTAAATTATTAATGAATTCTTTACCTTCGTCTTAGTCCTCGCAGACTTCGCCAATTTCACTCGAATGTTGTTACATTTCTCTTAATATTACAAAGTTGTAGTTATTTACAGTCTCATTTATATTTAAAACTAGTTTACGCAGACATTACTATTTAAAAATGTATAATATAAAAATTTGAAGCCTTATTTGTAAATATGTACACAAAAAATATTAATGTAATTTTCTTCATCTAGTACATTATTCTTTAATTATAAAAGAGATAACGTAATGACTTATAATTAAGTTTCAGAAATTTAGATTAAAACGTAATTGATAAAACTATATTAAAAAGGTCTACAAAAAATGTGATAATAAAAATATGAATAATGAGTTATTTGTATCTAAGAACTGACACCGATAAGGTTGTGATCCTTGCTTAATCTTTAAAGGCAATCTCTTCAACGTTAAATTGAATACTTCAGAAAATAAAGAAGACGAGGGGCAATAATAAGAGATGATTTTCAGCCCAGAGCCTTGATAAGCTACCTACTTATAATTAAAGATGGCTAACATTTTATGGTCCACCATAAACGGTCAAAAATCATAATATTAAACGTGCTATATATGTTAAAATAACAAATGCTACTATTTTTATCAGAAATATTATTGGGAACAGCATTTCAATAGTAAACTTACTCTTGATGGTCTTCTTTAACAGTAGCGATTGCGTGTTGAGAGAGTTGCAACCATTTCACCGCAGATGTATTGTCGAGTCCTCGAGCGTTCAGCCATACTGGCGACTCAGGCAACGGGAGAAGAACAAAAAATAAAGCCGCTGAAAACATAAAAGTATGGTTTGGATCAAAGCGCCCGCCTCTCCGAGCTTGTAAAAATAACAACGTCATACACTTTATGAGCAACCGGCTGATTTTCATAGTATTACACATCGTCCTACAAATAAAATGGTAGGATTTCTCTGTCTTACGCTCAGGAACTGTGTGCTGAACGGTGTTGCTGAGCGTTTATTAATTAGCAAGTTACCAACTAAGTACTATACACACACATATATATATATATATATATATATATATATATATATACAATTCTAACTAACTAAACTAACTAAAATATTAAAACTTCCTTTGGTTTTGATTTTGCTAATGGTTTACTGAATATAATATATTCTTATTTATATATTCAATATTTTTTATTCTCTGTAGTACTGTATATTGTTTATAGATTAAATTATTATACTTCGGTAATATATAATATTACATCATTATTTATGTGCAAGCTGTGTTTCATTATTTTATGTGATTGAAAATAAACCTATTAAATATATAGACATTTGGTATAAGGTTAAAACTTTACCACAAAATGTAGCAGACAAAAACGCTAAGTGTCTCCAATACAGCCAGCTACCGCCCACATAAGAGATCAGAATACCCATCGACATGGATAATGTAGGTAGAGAACCCAAACGACCGCGGATTTCTGGATCACAACACTCACTCACCTGTAAACAGAGAGATGAAAATTTCAAGTAATTAAATAAAGTATTGTATTATAAAACTAGCTTTATATCAGCTAAATGTGTAAATAGTAAATGTGTATATGTAAATCAATTATTGGGTGTATTTTTATATATATATATATATATATATATATATATATATACCGATACATTGCATGCATCTTCTTAACGTTTCTATAATGGAGAGCTAGACAAAATGTCATTCTGCAATAGTTGAAAAATAGAAATCTAAATATACGTATATCACACTCTCGCTCCGCTCGGTTTAGTTACCCTAGTTACGATTTATATATATTTCTCAGAGATGCGGTCACAGACTACAAACAGACAGACAGATAGACAAAAATTCTAAAAACTATAGATTCGGGCTCTGTATCGATAATAATGACTATTTCAATAAGTTTTTTCAAAATATATTTAATGTACAGTAAAGTAATATTTAAAATTTCTATTATAAAACGATAGCAGATTGACGTGGTGCCTAATAAAGAATTGCCCCATAAAAATATGAATTAAAATTCTTTGCTTAGCCATTAAAACCCCGCTGGTACTTATAAGTACCAACCACCTCGTCCACTGTACTTTTATCATTTATTACAAGTCGAAATTACTTTATTTTTTTCTAAATGAGTATTACACGCAATCTTTAAAAGTTTTATCAACTATATCTATACATATAATAAAATTGTAACTAAGCCGAATCTGTACATTGAATATTTTTTGGGAAATCTTATTGAAATAGACATTATTATCAATACAGAGACCGAATCTATAGTTTTTTAAAAAAAATTATATGTGTCTGTTACCGCATCATGGAAAACCCACTGTACGGATTTTGATAAAATTTGGTATGATGATAGCTGGTTATCCGGGTCAACATATAGGATCTTTTTACTGCGGGAAAATATCTCATTTCTGAGAAAAAATACGAAAACTGCAATGTAAGAGTATACTAATAAAAATACCTAAGAATTTGGTTTTTGGTCATCATTGAACGCGGGCGGAGCCGCGGGAGATGCTAGTAATAAAATAACATTTTTATACAATGCCGACAACGTTAAAAACAAACGCGCCAAAAAATATCAAATTTCAAGTGAAGCGCGCGCGATTCGCTATTATTTTTGTCTAATTTAAAACCTTTAAACTGGTTAATTTGTGCCCTAAACGAATAAATATTTATACTTAGTCTTTTTTGCTATTATTGAGATACTAATAATAGAAATACAAAGACGTTGATCTATATCTATATAAATACAAACTGGCGACTCACCCTCGCTTCGGTCGAGTTCGTCCCTGCTTACGTATTAACGATTAGTATTGATTTCTCCGAGATGAGATATTTTTCAGACAGATTAAAAATGTGAAAGCTTGTGAGTATGTTTGGTTGTTTGTTACTCTTTCACGCCAGAACGGCTGAACGGATCTTGATGAAATTTGGCACAGAGATTTATTATAGTCTGGAATAACACATAGGCTACATTTTATCCCGGAAAAATATACGGTTCCCGAGGGATAGATTCGTTTTTGTTTTGTAGTGAAAAATAAAATTTAAGTATACCATACCATACCATATATGTAAGCAGTATAAATATTTAAATTGGGATAGATAATTCTATTTTTATATACTTTTAACGAAAATATGATTTGAAGAAGATGTTATTAGTTTTTGAGATATGGTACATTTTCATCTACGGGCATTTGTTGCATACAAAAATTGACTCTTTTTGTCATAAAAATACAATGAAATACAAATTAAGTTATTCTACCCATAAAAAGATATTGTGGATGAGTAAATAATATGTTATGTTACTTTTGTCGTAACATATTGCATAATAAATTAAAATACATAAATTAAATTATTCATGCTACGAGAGCTAGCTTACTTGCGTGCCAGAACTTGTACTCTCGTATTTATTCGATTTCTTATAGTAATTCTATATATGTTATATTTTTATGAAAATTGTACTTTATTTAATGATTTTGAATCTATTTTGTCCAAAAATTACATTATTTTATTGCACCTATTCTGATTTTTAAAATACGTAGGTTATTTGTGCTTAACCCTTACAAAAATAATCGATCTTTTTTAGAGTTGTGGTGTGTAAATCCTATGATCGCTATGCAGCAAAATATTCTTAGTACCTACATTATTTTAGACAACTTCACATGTTCAAATGTTTAGTTTTTTGAATGAAAAGTGTTAAGTTCTCATATATGTGATAGTGCTTAGTTTGATCTTTTATAATTTGAGTTACGAGTAAATTTATATTCAGAAACGTTAACAACAATGCAACACGAACGTCTATAAGAAATAACCTCAACTTTTCTCTCATATAAGAAATCGATCCGAATTTTAATTACAGTGGTTTATTTTCAAGATTTCTTGGTGAATGTTTTTAAAGTAGGACTATTTTGTATTTTAGTGTCACTTATTAAGAATCCACACATTATAAATTTTTAAAAATATTAAGCAGGCGGCAAGGTCTCAGGCGTGAATTACCAACTTGCACTGACAGACTTCATAAATACAAACTAAAAAGCCTGGAAGATTGGCGTGTTATCATCAGATCAGAATCAGATAGAATCAGATATCAGATTCGTGTATCCTCCATATAATAGCCAATGGCGATTTCAACAGTAAATTACTAGAAAAATTGGAATTTAAAATTCATACTCACTCGATTCGTCAGCCACAACTTTTTAATATACCTTCGAAAACTAATAATGTTTCCCAAAACAAACCATTACATCGAATGTGTAAAACATACAATAGTTTAAATGATGAATAAGACATTTTTAATAATAGTTTATTATTGTTCAAGAAAAAATTAAATAAATTATAAAAAAATAAATATTACTATTATTAATTACATTTTCGATAATAAGGATAAGTTTTCTCTCTGTTTCACCTCCTTTATCTTTTTTTTCTTTGTCTTTTTTTTCCACATGAAATGTAAATATTATTTTCTTTCAGTTTTTTAATATTTTTTATGTACTTTTCAACTTTAAATGCACAGACTCGTACGGTAATATTCACTTTCTGGATAAGTTTGTTTATATAATTATTATATGTTTTTATTTGAATATTGTGTACAGATATAATTGGACAACAAATTTAAAATGATATTTTTAGTTTTTAATACATTGGTAGATGTAATTTTTTTAATTTGTTTTCTGTTTCTGTACCTATAAATAAAATAAAATAACTCGGGTAATTGCTTTGACAATTGCACGATGAGCTACGCAAATACAACCAACGAGCCGCGAGTGCTATAAAGTTTTGAATTTGATTTTAACTAACAGCTAATATAAATAAATCAAGAAATGGTTTTGTTCAATTACATGTTTATTCATAAAGTAGTGTTTCTAAGTTTATTTATAATTCATCATTACTTCAAAGTGTATTTTATGGCTGCAGTTTAGTATACGCGGACTTAGTATACGCGGACGCGGCCCCTGGAGGAGTGAGTGGTATTTTTGGATAGGGGAGGTGATAGAGAGTCCAAATATATAAAAAATATTTTGAGAAAACAAAAGTGTCAAAAGCTATTGAGACTTAAAGTTACAACATTTCCATACATTGTTTAGACATTACTGCCATTTAGACACTTGGAAATATCAAAATGTCACTTTCAATTGTCAAAATGATCTCCAGATTATGTTTTGTCGTGTTTTTAATTATACTTTGCGTGAAATTTGAATTTTCTAGTTTTCTAATCATATAATAATGGCGTTGTGGTAACTGTTCTAACATAACCTAACCAAGATATGACGAATAATAAATAAATAACCTAAGTCTTAAACTAACCACGATGTTGCAAAATAAAAACCAAAAGTAAATAATACTTAGATTTTAAAAATAGTCTACTCACGTTTATAAATTGTATTAATATAATTTGTTGTCATTAAGCGGTAATATAAAACAGAAATTGACAGTTGTCAAAATGTAAGATCATTTTGCTAACAATAGGTACTGTTGAGAAATTATTAAAAAAATAAATACAATAAAGCCTTAATTGTAGTGGAATTATGTATTGTATATAACTTATAAGAAGGGATGTTTACTATTAGTTAAAGGTATGCTTATCTTTTGTAATCACATAGTTAGGTAAAGAAATGTATGGAAATGTTGTAACTTTAAGTCTCAATAACTTTTTACTCCTACGTTTTCTCAAAATATTTTTTATATATTTTGACTCTCTGTCACCTCCCCTATCCAAAAATATCACCCACTCCGCCAATTGGTAACGAAATGTATGGAAATGTTGTAAATTTAAGTCTAAATAACTTTTTACTTCTACATTTCCTTAAAGTAATTTTTATATATTTGGGCTCCCTGTTATCTACCCTATCCAAAAATACCTTCCACTCTACCAGGGGCCGCGTCCCATATACTAAACTTGTGTTTATTTTATATGTTGTCATAAATGCTCATATTATTAAAAACCCAAAACAGCTTACATATTTTAAATCGGTAGGTGCTATATAATTTGAATTATTAGTGTTATTTTTATGTAATGGTTATATCGAGGAAAATTGACGCGCGGGCTCGGTGTTTAACGGGTTTTGCATGTCAAAAAGCGTGGGGTTCTAGTGGTTAATCCAACATTCTTCTTCTTCTTCTTCTTCTCCCTGCCCATTTCCCAATCACTTGGGGTCGGCGCAGTACATCTTCTGTACTGCTGAAAGGATTTGGCAAAAGTTTTACGACCGGCCGCCTGCCTGAAGTCAACCCTCCTTGGGAATGCTATTGTATTTCGCGGAAGTCTTGTAATATGATGCACTTTCGATTTTGTTGTCTTTTAAAACATTTTTTTATACTATTACTTAAAGTTTAATGTTATTTTCGGATATATTTTAAAATAAATCTTAATCACACTATAAATTTTGTTTTGACGTTGTCAAATTTTTTGTAATCCAACATTACGAGTATACCTACCTAATTCAAAGTAAATAAAAATAACATTAACATAGTAATTAGCTATAAACTAACAACTTATTTAGATACAAGGCGCAAAATGAGCGTAATAATTAACATCCTCGACGGTAATTATTCATAAGATGAATATGAATGAATGGCGCCTATGTATTGATATAATATTATCGGAGATCTAATTTAATACACGTTTATGCGAACTGAAAAGTTTCTATTTACTTGTATAATTATAGACCTCTTTGTACTCAGAGTTGATCACACACTGCATTCACAAATGCTTTACTTAAATTATATACGAGTATGTAAATGTTATCTAAGCAGCACAAACAATGCTAAGTAAAATATTAAACCATTCCTTTGTATCTCACAATAAATTGGCATAGGAACATGATAAAACACTAGAGAGAAGCTCTTTCTATAATGAACACTGTAAAACATTCTGTTTACAATAACTATAAATGAAGGAATTTCTCGAAACTAAAATTATATTATTTTCTTTTAATCTATCTAATATAAGCACAAATGAAATTGACATATAAATTACGTGTATATTTCATGGGGCTTAAACAAGATGTCATTCCACAATTGTTGTAGAATACAAAACTAAAAAATTATATAGAAACAACGTATTAAGTATTAATCAAATTTCAGCTTCATCCTCTCCAAATAATAATTCGTGTTTTTTTCTTTAGTTAAGTTATAGAAAGTGATGTTAACACAGATCATATAATACTATACTAATAGAAATAAATCACTACATAGTATAAAACGAAGTCGCTTCCCGCTGTCTGTCTATCCCTATGTATGTATGCTTAGATCTTTAAAACTACGCAACGGAATTTGATGCGGTTTTTTTAATAGATAGAGTGATTCAAGAGGAAGGTTTATATTTAAGGTAGAAGGTTCATATTATAGTACAGAAAAGCCGAGAAATTCAAAGATTTGTTTCATACTAACCGTTAAAAAGTGCGTAGGGACAAACCCGTGCGAAGTGAGGGTGAATCGCTAGTCTATACTAATATTATAAAAAGGTAAAGTTTGTGAATTGTGAGTTTGTGAGGTTGTAAGTTGTTGTTTGTTGTTTTATTATTATCTCTGGATCTACTGAACCGATTTAGATAAAATTTGTTAAAAAGATAGTTTGAGACTCTGGGAACGACATAGGACACTTTTTATCCCGGAAACCATCCCTTAAGGAGTTAAAAATGGGGATGAAAATTTGTATGGGGAATCAACCTAGGGACGAACCCGAGCGAAGCGAGGGTGAGTCGCTCGTATATAATATACAGAATATAATCGCCATCAAGTGTGATATCGGTGCTTATTGCATTAGTCGTAAAATGATTATTCCCATCTTCGATATCATATCCCCTGACCCCTGTTATTTAGTTACCCACATATTTAATTACTCCACAGTGTTAGTGACTATCCTATCTCAATCCTTTCTTTATTATCCAAAGTACTAAAACGCCTTGTACAAAGTCAACTGACCCAATTCCTCTATAATAATAATCTTCACAGTCCTTTGCGATCTCGTTAGTTAGATTACTGACAATATTCGCATGGGTATTGATACGCAAGTTACTGTACTAGCATTGTTATCAATCCGCTTGGTACAGTAGATTTTGATACTTTGCGTACTTCTCTAGGTTCTTTTAACATATCTCCTGATGTAATTGGCTGATCTCTTGTTTACCTGTACGAACGTCTTCAGTGTATACGTGTCCTAGATTCGTATTCGGACTGGCTCCAAGTCAAGACTGGTGCTCCACAGGGTAACGTATAGTTTCACGAAGAAATTTCAAGAAATCACTATTTTAGCGATAAGGCCGCGTCTTGTATATGTTTCAACCATTCTGTAGTTTATGCTTTACAGGTGTACAATGAATTATGATTCTATGACGTATAAATTTAATTTATCATTTTAATAAAATATAACTTTTTTTTTTAAATTTCTGCGATTGCAGTATTTACTAAATATTATATATATATATATATATATATATATATATATATATATATATATATATATATATATATATATATATATTAATATTGCTATGATAAACGTAGCATTCACTATTTCATTATATATGGAGAAAAAAATCGAAAAATCTTACATAAACTTGTGCCGGTGCTAAAACGAAGCCAACACAAAGTCCTGACATTATTCTGCCAAACAAAATGAGAGAGAAGTTAGGTGCGAAGCCGAGTATGAGCCAGCTGGCGGCCCACAGCGGTGCAGTCAACTGTAGAGTACGCTTTCTTCCTGCACGTTGCATAAGAGGGCCAGAACATATGCTGCCCATAAATGCCCCTAGCGGAGGAATTGCACCTGCAAGACATTTTATTATAATTACTAAATATTATAATAAGCATGAAATAGTATGAAGTAGAAATAATAAATTCCATTTTGTAATATTAATTTCCCGTCATAATAGTGTATGTCCCTACACATCTAAATTATTGCAAGGAATTCAAAATTATTTTACCAATTAGGATAATTGATACAATTAATCATTAAAACATTATACTAATTATACGATGAATTGTGATTATTTCTTCAAATTAAAGTTCCCTAGGTAACTTTTGACGAATTAACAATAAATATATGACAAAAACATTTCAATATGTAAAAAAAATATATCTTACCGATCCATGACTTTTGTTCACTATTCTGTATTAAGGAAGAATCCAAACTTTCTATAGAAGGAATGGCGGAAGCGGAATATCCCCTGACGAGACCGATGATAAGGAAAGCCAGAGAGGCGCCGAAGGTCAGCCATAACTGAAACAATTTAGACGTAAGTACCGTCTGTTACGTTTGCCGCAGGATATCGCAGAGGAAAGCCCACACACCAGCATCCTCAATCTTTTTATATTTAGATTTTATTGCCTAGATCCCTATATTAGACAATTGTCAATAAAATCTTAGAATATTACCACTTTCCACTCTATTTCAAGGTCTTCATATTGTTATTGTAGTAATTATTTGGTTTATCATTTTGTAAGCTGTACATGATACACACACCTACATTCCTGCTGTAGTTTTTGATATGCGTAAATTACATTCATACAATATTTTACTTATTATAATTTACGGATAGGTTAAATTTACGGAAGTATACCTCGTCCCATATAAGTTATAACTATTTTTAAATCTATATTAATAGTTCTAACGATTTGAGTAGATAATAACAATAATTTTACTATAGAATATTGTACAAGTTTCAGCACATTATTAGAATATTTATACAGTCGCAATTGCTAACTTACTCTTTAACTTTATATGGAAACATATTGTGCATATAACATATATAATATAAAATATTTTGTCCTGACTGACTGACTAATCGATCGATTTGGAGGACGTATTCCTTATATGATGTAAGCATCTAATAAGAAAGGATTTTTCGAAATTCATCCCCTAAGTGCGTAAAATAAGGGATTAAAATTTGTATGAAACTCTGTCATTCTTAATGTGAAATTTGTCCTTTAATATGCAATTTCAATGTTTTGTTTCATAAGTGCAATAAAGAATATACTACTACTACATACAAAGTGATATTTATCTTTAAGATAAAAAGTAAGAAATATATTTATTTATTTATTTACTTTTAGAAATTAAAAAATCCATTAAATGTAAAAAGGGGTAATAAAAATTATATGGGCAAAAAAATATTTATCATCAGAATTCTTTGAAACTTGGTAACAATGCTCTTCAATACAATTAAATAAATATATTTTTCTTAATTCAACCCCTAAAGGAGTAAAACTGGGCGGTGAAGTCGGAGTTGGTTGAATATATTAAAACAGAGTAACATGGCTCGAGTTCTCCGTAAGTACACTGTTACAGTATGGGATATAAAGTAGATAACAGAAATTATTCCGAATCCAAAGACAAAATATATATAACTTCTCGGCTGGCCACAGCAATTACGACTATAACAGACCTAGAGCGCGAGAGAGAAAACCTAGCTAGAGAGTATCCTGCTATCTATAACCTATTTAATTATATCCTTAATTGCCTCAATGGTGTAGTGGCTAGCATGTACGGCTGCACACCCGGAGGTCCTGGGTTCGAGTCCCGGGTCGGGTCAAGTTTAGTTATTGAGTCTTTCTGTATAGTAAGCCTCAGTAACAGCCCGGAGTTGGGAAGTTGGCGGGGTTACACCCCCGTGCCTCGGAGAGTATGTAAAGCCGTCAGTCCTGCGCCTTAACTCTCACTGGTCGTGTCAAATGATCGTCCCACCAGAGAATGAGAGTGACAGGAATAGAGAGTGCACTTGTGTCTGCGCGTACACTTGTGCACTATAATATCTCCTGCGCAGTTGGCTACTCTCAATGAGATTGGCCGCCGTGACCGGAATCGGTCAGGACAACATCATCTATATCCTACTTCTGAAGGTTAGCACACCTATAATGAAAAAGTCACCTAAGTTATGTAACGGGATCAGACTGTAAATAATTCATTAAATATTAGAGCGGCCACTGTGTTTGCTGGATCTAGTCGGAGGAAATCAGTATTCATATCTCGAATACCACTGATAACCTCTGACTACGCGTATGAATTTAATCTATTCTAATTCCTACTTAAAGTTTGCTTTACAATGACCATTAATATATCTCAGGGCCAGTCGTTAAAAGTAGCAGGCTTAGACTTAAGAGAGGTTTGTTTCTCACCGGGACATTCTAAGAGAACTCACGACTATACAGAACATCCACCAATGTGGTATATTTGTGATTGGTTCTTTAGCGTAGACTAAGTAAAGTGAATCTAGAGTTAGAGTCTAGAGTGATTATATAAACGAATACATAATATAAAAAATTCTATTTAACAACATATAAATTCAATAGAAATTAAAATTGAGCAAATTTTTTACTCCACGCGAGCGTACCCGCGGCGCATAAGCTATAGCAAAATAAGAATGGCGCTTTATATATGTAACTTAAAAAGATAGATGTACACGTGATGTCTTTAAAAATAACATAGATGCTAGCCTGTTAGTATGTTAGTTAGAAAGCCCATATAAGCCGAGTTACATGATTTTAAAGTCGTAAACATTGTATGCGCGTTGTATCATTGTACATTGTACTAAGTTTGTATTTGTTTGTAATTGTATGATAAGAGTAGAGATTCTCTTATTTTAGAAAGATGGAGTAGAAAAGTGTAAAAAATAGAGGTAGAGGAGCTTGCTCAATACCTAAAATAAAATTTGTAGAATATACCTACGCTTAGCATCTTTTAAAAACCTGGATATTTTGGGTTACGATCGCTAAAATCAATTGGTTTTCCATATATCTATAAGAAATAATATGCAACATCAACTTATTTTTGCAAATAATAAAGTTTGTTTTGCGAAAAATATTTTTGTCGTAGTTTGAACGCGGGCGAAGCCGCGGGTTCTAATAGTGTATCAATAAAACGAGAGATATAGTATGTCGATTTTAACATTACTAGCGACTTAACCTCGCTTAGCTCGGATGCATCTTTACGTCTTATAGTAAGTACCTTAGGTGTTATACCAGTTTTTTGTCTATCTGTAAATTAAATTTCATTCAAATCTGTCCTGCCTTTTTACAGCGAAGGAGTAAGAAATACACACATACACACCTAAACATTTTACATATATAAAATAGCAGCCTGATTTCTGTCACGGTTTATTTTTTATAACCCGATAAGATGTCGTAAACGCTAGACGGAAGCTGATAGCGTAACTACAAAGATTACTTCAAAAGTACTTGACTTGAGAATCAGCGAAGCGCCGAAGGTCACAATTATAATGACAAAGGGTATTTTTTTGCCCGCAATAAATAAATGGGCTATGTGTACAAATGACAAAATTTTTACAGAGTTGGAAGGGACTTAGTCACCATAATTACATTAATAAGAATAAAATCGAAATGCTAATTTCAAAGTTGTTAGTTTATATGGCTTGTAATCTAATTTAAATCAAATTTTAATTACATATAATGGATATCGGTCAACAATATTAATAAAATACAATTCAATAAAAAAATACATACATATATATGTCACGTTTTCCTAAACGTAGAGCGTTTTTATTGAACAAGTAAGTATGATTAATATTCATTTACGATTTTTATATTTTCTAAGCGTCATCAGTCCCCACAGACAATATGTTATGTCTGTGTCAGTCCCTTAGGAGGCTATCAGATGCTTGAAATACATATCCGCTAAGAAAGCTTCACAGTTGTTTTTTTAACTTCTTAAGTCACAATTTGTATAATTAACCATACAATAAAAAACTTAAGTAATAACAAGTTCTGTATTCAATAAATCTCTAGGAAATAGAATAAAATAACTTGTACTCATCGGTGATGAAATAAATATAATATACTATATACATAGGAATTAAGCTATATAAAATGTTATTATACTGGATAGATAAAACATTTTTTCGTACGTCATTTTTGATATGAACGTAGAATTATATCATGCACATTGCACATGCCTAAAGTTATTGAAGACAATTTTTGTACAGTTATCACTTATCACATATCGCGTGATCAACGGAAGAAGACTATCACATGTAATTTCAGATCACGTTGTGAATGGCACGGGCAAAATGTTCAATTCTATTGTCTGGATGGTGGTCAAGTTCATAGTGATAATGTATAAGATTTGATGGGAAAAATATTCATTCAATCATTGCGCTGATAAAACTGAGGCTAACATTTTAATTTTATCTATTATTAATTCTTTACACTTGTAACAAAATTAGAAAGCATTTTTATTTTTTGAATTATCAGGATCGAAGAAATTGAAATAATAGCAACATTAACTGTTGCTGTTTTTTTCTTAGCTACTGTTGCTTCCGTATCTGGGCATAGAGTTTAAAAAATATTTTGATAAAAATTAAACTTATAAACCCAAAAGCTTTTTGAACGATATTGAGCATAAAAAGAGAACAAAAAGGTACTCTTAAAATTAATAAGCAAATGAATACAATACCTAACATATGCACATGTTATACCTACAAATTTTATATTACAGATATTATCATTTTACTGTCTTTCGTTTTTAAATATATCATTAATTTATACAACTTGTTCTATTGTTTCCTCGTGACTATTTTTGTTGACGTTGTTTAAATAAGAAGTAATCTCATGATATGTAAAATAAAAAGTGGTTAATCTTAAGAATATATAATAATATTTTATAATTAACATTATTGCTTTATAATTGCTTTAGAATTTTTCCGCGGGGAAGACCAAAATGATGCATATACCTTTTATCGCATACAGCTGATTTGGAGTGAATACTCGTGGGGTAGCAGGTACATCATCCTTTATAATAATGACAATCCGTATGTATATCAAGTCAAAATCTGTGTTTTATACAATTTTTTAACAAAGTAATTAATTTTACAAAGTTAACATACTGCATGAGTTCAAATACTAATTTGATTACCAACCCCTTTATAGTGGTTCATATTTGAACTCATGTATATTTTAAAGAAAAACTAATCAGCAGGGCATTTCTATTTGAATCGACTATAAATTCTAATAAGAATCTAATAATATTATATAATATATATATATCAATACACGTATATCCCTTTCTTATGAGCCAAGAGTTAAGTAAAGCAAAGAGTTAAGTGTGAGTTTAAGGTAAAATTGAAATAATAGTAAAAGAATCTTTAAAAATATGTATAGCCTTCTTGATATTGTGCTAAAATAATGTGATATTTTATTGTATTATTCAATTTACGTATTCTATTTATAATTTGAATTTGAAAAAACAACTCTATCCCACGGGAACCC